CATGCCATGCACGTGCATATTGAAGTTTTTCTCACTTACACTTTTCCCCCTGCCCTTTCATTCTGACAACGCACTGTTTTGGCTTGTCTTTGTTTGATGAATGTTTGCCATCAACCATTGCCCAGGGCGCTTCAGGTAGAACTTACTTATCATATTCGGAATGATCGTTGTGAAGAGAAAAGCATTTCATATTTAGGGAATATACACAGCTCATGGGCCGTTGAAGATGGAGTTAGCACGGGCTATTATGTCTGTCCAAGTTCTAATTTTCTTTGGAATTTTAGTTTTGGATTCATCTGCTCATCAAGGCCATGTGTAAGTTGGGAACTTTTGAATTTTAGGGACTTTAACTTAAAATATAATTTCATTTCGAAAATACACATAACATCACGTGTGTTTGGTGTGCCTTGCATATTATTTTCATACTATTATTTTCCTATTGAATTATATCTATTGAAAGTAAAATACTATTGTAAATAGTGGTTCCTATAATGTATTCCTAAACTAAATACCACTTTTCAATGTTCAGAAGGACTTTTAAGGTTTGTTATTTTCATATTAACACGAGTTACACATTTTACCATTTATTATAAATCTTAATTATTCAGGCGTGGTATTTTATGTTAATACATTTTCGAAATCATGCTTTGGTTCACCGATAAGTGCCTGCTTTAAAAATTGACATATATTTACTAATATCGGTTAATTTTTATGATTTCTCCTTAAATTCCTTTACTTTTAACACCTGTACAATTTTGGGATTATAGTAATGAAATCTAAATAACATTCAGATACAATAAGAATAATATTCTTTTTTCCAGAATTAAAGCTTTAAATCGTTTATTATGATGTAATTATTGTCATCTGTATATAACTATTTGTTTTGATTGACTAATTAGATCTTTACCTTAGGTAAAGGATGTAAACAAACAAAGGTTCAGGTCTCTGTCAGCTATTGATCTATCGACATGTTGTACTTTTATTATTTTGTTGAAGTAGTACAAGGTGGCGTGTTAAGGGCCTTGCATTTTGTGTTATTTATGATTATGGAAACACTTTGAAAAGTTCATCGCTATGATCATTATAATTATAAATACCAGGTATACAATAAAAACATCAATAGTTTTTTTTTACTTGTGTACAAGCTTGTACAATAGACTCCGAAGATAGTGGTATTTGGTTGAAGGAAATGATTTAAATAATAGGTCAAATCAATATCTGTTCGGCCAAATGGTTTTCTATTCAAGCTTAATTATAATTTTACTTACTTCTTCATGTTTATTTCGTGTTAAAGATATAAGTAGCTTTCAACAAATATTCAAAAGCATGAATATTAAAAGATTTCAGTTTAAAAAAAATACCTTGTGTAAAATACCTTGTGTTATGCTCATGTTTGCTTTTAATTCAAGACCAAATACATTGTGTTGGTGAACTTGTTTGTACTAAAACAACTGTTAACGAGGACCTTACACTTACCATGTAAGCACGCTGTATACACGATATGTAGGACCTTACAAAACATGCCTTGTTGTTAGAGTCGTGTTCCTTGCCAGGGGGCTCTTTGCTGTGGCCATCAAAGTAATGCATATAGCTCCCAACAATAAACGCTTCTCTTCAAATATAACAAAACACACTTTTAGTGCAAAACTTATGTATATACGAGGGTTGTCCCGTAAAATCGTGGACAAAGCGTTTTTCTCCAAAAGTAAAGGGCGCACTAAGCTGAAATTTTCAGTAAATGTTTATTCATCATATTTAAGTGAATCATAATGTTTTTGATAATATATATTCAAAAATAAAGATTTTATTATGCTTGAATTCGCACAAGGTACGGTCCTACGGCGCACGGTAAAAATAGCAAGGTTATATTAGAGAAGACACTAGAATTAATTCGTAATAAAAGTTTCTATATATAATATAAGGGTGAAAATTATCCTAATAAGATTCCTTAATCAATTCTGTCGTCTTTTGAAAGATTTCAAGGCATTTGGTTAATTTTTGGCAGTTTCCCGAGCATTCCAAATTGGAAAGTGGTAAACACATACACGAAAAATGGCGACTTTTGATGACGTTACGGCGCACCGGAGAGCAGTTCAGATAGATTAGGATGTTGTAATGACGCCTTACGAGACTTAAAATGAATACAGAAGAACGAAAATATGAAAAATATAACCAGATCTTTAGTATATAAATGAAATGAAAGTTTTCTTAGCGAAGTCTTATCCCCAGATAGTACAAAACATATGGACAGACTGCCATTGTAATAGCAAAGGACGCAGTCACTGTCGACCGTCGATGTGAGATTCTCTTTTCGTTGAATGATGGTGAGAATACTGTCCGTAACTTGCTAATAAATATTCAGAACATCGCATTAGTGTGCCACATTGGTTCCTTATCTGGTTATAGACACTCACGTATGTAAATCAATAAAATTTCTAAATTTAAGTGGGGCTTATCCAACTTTAAGTTTAGCAAAGATGAAACGTGACGCTGTTTTAGACACTTTGACGTTATCATCCGTGCGCCGTAGGGCGATACAGTACATAACATAAAATATCATAATTTGATTATTTATGCATATATCTATTTGAAATTTGCTATGTATATTCATAATATACGTACTAAAGAGTGGTGAAAATTTCAGAACTCAGTGATAATTATTTTTCAAACTAGCCAACTTGTCCACGATTTTACTGGACAACCCTCGTATAATGTTCTTTTATTATCTTATTGCAGAGAAGGCAAATCCAGATGTCAAACATGCTCTGATATGCCCACCCTCGCAATGGTTAATTTGACCAATACAGCTTGTCTTCGGCTACCATGAACTTCGTTTGATTATCAATTACAAAACTGAGCTGAATGTAAAAATATGAGAAACATTTCTTTTTAAACACTTATTATTATTTTGATTAACAAGCCGTGACTGAAACATATAATTTGGTGACGTAATATATATACTTCATAAAATTGAATTACCATCAAATTGTCCAACATATCAGTTAGCCTCTGCATATGAGATACAGTCAAAATAACATATAAAGCTTTGGTTATATTAATGACGAACTAAAAGTTTGTGTAAAATAATTCTGATCTACCTTTTCTTCGAAGAAAAATAAGCTGATAAAGGTCCAGGTTTTTACTTACGTAATAATAAATACCCTGTAAGTCAGGATTGACGGGAGATTGTTCCATTTTTATAGGAGCATTCTAATCTTTCAAAAGCTTTCGAACAAATAAGCAGTTTCTGATAACTTCGAAATGTCATTAGATTAGTAAGGGATATACTGAATGAGAATTTCGATTATGTTTGTGTTTAATTATACAAGCTCACAACATTATCCATTTGAATGATAATGAGTTTTCTCAGAAACTATAAAAATTATGAAATAATGAAAGATAAAGATTTATGGTATATAATTTTTGCACTCTAAAAAACAGTGTAGACTTTATTTAATTTTCTATCTTTTATAATGAATATTAAGTTGAAATAAATAATTAAAATTCCTTTTTCAAGGTCAATAATTTTGTGTTTTATAATTATATATTCATATTATCAGAATACTAATATATATCTAAACGACCTTCGTGACATGTAGTCGTATTTTAACTACAATTTTTATCATAACTTGAAGTGTAACTATGAAAACAAATTAGAACTTCAATCTTTTATTTCAAGATTTTAAATCATTTCAGTGGCTTAAAGTGAAATAAGTTCTAAACCAAAATCAAAAAAATCAATACAAGCAAAAGCGGAAGAAGATGCTTTAACATGATACGTTGACAACATTATCACCAGTGTCAACAATAAAAACATAGTACAGCCGTTAGAATCCTTACGCCCTCGGGCCGGTCACGTCTGTCTAATTAATTTCCTCGCTAGCTTTATAACTGTATTACGCTGTATCTGTACGTTAAGTGTCACTTAGTAGAACAATGAGTTCCTATTTAACATCGGTCTACATTGTGTATTATGTTTTTCTTTTTCTTGTTTTTTATAACATAAACAAGCTCAATTTTTCAATGTTGAGGAACAAATCCGCAATAAAACTTTATAAATTTTACTAAATTTTATTTTGCAACAACACGTCTTTTGTTATTCCTCTGTTTTCTAGAAGGAATGTGTATGTTTTCTTATACTTAACGTAGAGGGTATTCTGATCATAATAACATTCCCCTGTCTTTTATTTTGTGAAATTTATAAAAGGAAGATAAATCCTACAACATTTTTTCAATCACGTGCTCTTCCATTTATTTTCATTTCACCCATATCAATTGCCCATAGGCGGCAATATTAATAGATGTAACCATTGCTATATAATTCCCAGTATTTCATCATTCATACTAATTTAAGAATTCAAAATCGTTCGTCTTTCATTACTTATTTGCAATCAGTTTACACGCAATACTAATTTAAGTTTTACATAATTAAGTGTTTTAAACATTTCTTTTTAGAATATGCATTTTAACAAATTTCAAAGTCCATGAAGACCCACGTATTTATTCCCTAAATGGTTGTCAAAAATTTCAACTGATCATAAATCACAAAAGTTGCCTGTCATTTCCCCTGTATACAGTTGTATGTGCTGGGCGATATGTCATTGATCTGCCATTGATCATTGACTTTATATCTGATCACTACACATGTTTTACTGAACTGAGAAGATCAAAAAATCAAATATTAAATGAAAAGATTTTAAAAGAGAAAGCCAGATTGTTGACAGTAGGATCCGATCAATGTGCCATGCTAATGTTTTAAGTTTTCTGATATTCCATCCATCACTAATAAGGTTCATTTCTATTTATTCTATGCTGTTGGATTCTACATTTCGTGAGATCTTTTTACTTTTGCACGTCCCTTCGTTTTAAGGACTAAAATTATTATTACTTACTTTATACTGGATAGCTACCAATCATTTCTATTTCTTTGGGTTCTTTTTTCTTATATTAATCTGACGTTTTGAGTTTCTTGCAATGTTTTCATCTTGTCTTTCTTCCAGTCACCACGCCCCTACAAACCCCTCTCAGTCTGCCCCTCGGCCGTACCAGACAGGGACAGAGGAACAGAAATGTATGGTGATCGTCAGGAGAACCTTCCTGGAGAAGGAGATGGTCATCTACCCGTGCTTTCGACCCATCAGAGGGGTCACCCCTGTCTCAGCCCACCAAAGGTAACAACGGGGATAACGTCTGCTGGACAAAAAACGAGGGAAAATAATTAACAGTGCATGTGGTTATTGTTATTATTCTTTATAGAAAGGCATAAGTAAATATGTGTTTTATTACTATTGTTTTATGCAATTCTGTTGTTTACATCAAAATATGGCATTAATTGCCTCTAAATGCTCGTATGGGGTCTTCATATATCATTGCAATAGCCTTGAAATGGTCTATAAACCAATGACTAATATTCCTTAATGTCTGTACATAATCAATAGTAAAAGGGTAAAGCTCTTCTGAAGGATTAGTCACTTTTTCTTAGAGGTTTACCTCAGTAAGTCATTAATCTGTGACAGGTATTATCCTAGGTTATTAATACACACTTGAGGCACATTTCCAATCATTATCAAAACGGCTTAGATGAATATATATGAAGGGGATAAAACTCATATCATGTACAGATGTTTAGTATATCCTTATACCTTTTTCCATAGGTAGAATAATTATCCTTACTATATATAGTGGCATATATCAAAGGCATAGTTATGGAGACTTTGATTTGCTCTTCAGAGATGTTCATTTCCTTGCTGATATTGCCTTTAAAATTCAAAGCACTTAAATGCCAACTTTGTTGCAGCTTGTTTTCAAAGTCATGGCTCCATTCTTTGCTTCAATATAATATATTTCTTTTTCTTTCATTTATAAAGAATGATTTTTAATTTAATGGTATAAGAGAAATTGTCATCTTTTAACATATAGCTATTGCCCAAATGAAGCATACATCAAGCACTCAATATCTGAAGTTGATGGTGTAATACACCCTACTACGTGTCCTGCACAGATGTTTATGTTACTCAAAATGTCCCCTGACGATTATATGTGTATTATATCATAATTGACTTGATTTATTGATATCTTACAGCTCACTAGGTATGGTGTGTAGAGGCTACACCACTATTCCCAGCACTAAATACCTCCGGATGTCCATTTGTTGTCCGGGATGGTACTCAGACCAGCAGGGACGCTGTACAATGAGTGAGTGTCTTTCAATTTTTAGCTCACCTGAGCCGAAGGCTCAAGTGAGCTTTTCTGATCAAAATGTAAACTTTTCACATTTTCATCTTTTCTAACCACTGGGTCAACCAAACTTGGCACAAAGTATCCTTGGGTGAAGGGGAATCAAGTTTGTTCAAATGAAGGGCCACGCCCCCTTCCAAGGGGAGATAATTATGAATTTGAGAAAAATTTATGGCATTTTTAAAAAATCTTCTTCTCCAGAACCGCTGGGCCAGGAAAGATGAAACACATGTGGAAGCATCCTCAGGTAGTGTAGATTCAAGTTTGTTCAAATCATGACCCCCGGGGCAAGGGTGGGGCCAAAATGGCCGACCCAAGTTTTACATAGGAATATATAGGAAAAATCTTTTAAAATCTTCTTCTCCAGTACCACTGGGCCAGGAAAGATGAAACTCATGTGGAATCATCCTCAGGTAGTGTGGATTCAAGTTTGGTCAAATCATGACCCCCAGGGCAAGGGTGGGGCCAAAATGGCCGACCCAAGTTTTACATAGGAATATATAGGGAAAATCTTTAAAAATCTTTTTCTCCAGAACCACTGGGCCAGGAAAGATGAAACTCATGTGGAATCATCCTCAGGTAGAGCAGATTTCACATGACCCCCCCGGGGCAAAGGTGGGGCCAAAATGGCCGACCCAAGTTTTACATAGGAATATATAGGAAAAATCTTTAAAAATCTTCTTCTCCAGAACCACTGGACCAGGAAAGATGAAACTCATGTGGAATCATCCTCAGGTAGAGCAGATCAGTTTGTTCAAATCATGACCCCCCGGGGCAAAAGTGGGGCCAAAATGGCCGACCCAAGTTTTACATAGGAATATATAGGAAAAATCTTTAAAAATCTTCTTCTCCAGAACCACTGGACCAGGAAAGATGAAACTCATGTGGAATCATCCTCAGGTAGTGTAGATTCAAGTTTGGTCAAATCATGATCCCTGTGGCAAGGGTGGGGCCAAAATAATATAGTTTTACATAGGAATATATAACAAAAATCTTCTTCTCCAGAACCACTAGGACAGGAAAGATGAAACTCATGTGGAATCATCCTCAGGTAGTGTAGATTCAAGTTTGTTCAAATCATGACCCCTGTGGCAAGGGTGGGGCCAAAATGGCCGTCCCAAGTTTTACATAGAAATATATAGGAAAAATCTTTAAAAATCTTCTTCTCAAGAACCACTGGGCCAGGATAGATGAAACTCATGTGGAATCATCCTCAGGTAGTGTAGATTCAAGTTTGTTCAAATCATGACCCCCGGGGCTAGGGTGGGGCCAAAATGGCCGACCCAAGCTTTATATAGGGATATGTAGAGAAACCTTTTAAAATCTTCTTTTCAAGTACTTCAAAGCTATGACTTGTGATATTTATATAGAATCACTCAGGTAGTGTAGATTCTAGTTTGTTAATGATGAACCTGAGTAAATTTAAGCCTGAAGCGCTGTGGCCCCTGGGCCTCTTATTGTACTCATAATGAAATTTTTAAAGTAAAACTACAACACTAATACTAAACTCTTCACTATTTGATCAAATAAATATTTTTAAACATGAATGTAATTGAAAAAGGAGGATTACTTCATCTGATTTTAAAACCGACTACTGTCAAACATCCTTACTGTCACTTGCAGAATATGGACCACAAGATACTTATAAGATAACATTCTCTTTTTAACTTAATAATAGATATCTAAGTCTGAAGAAGCTATTTTCTCTTTTCAGTATTGTTATGTGTACCCTATAATATACAATATTCACAGAATCACCACCAAAATCCAACATTTATTTCTTTGGAATAGATCAATCCTTGAATTTATATCACTGTTTTTCACCAATATAATTTGAAATAAAGCGTGTCTTTCTGAAATCTTTAGCAGAATTTTGTTGGACGCACTTGTAAAATCGGGGTCTTGCTTTTTGTCATTTAACTATAAGCTTAGGAAGGGATTTCAATTGAATCTTTGTGGTCACGTGCATCTGCCTCACTGAAACCTACTCACAAGTATTAATTTTTTTATCACAATTTGCAGTTTTATATCATATAAATATACTAGATAGGTTTTGATTTTTTGGCATAATAAATAGAAGAAAATCATTTATTCTACTTACCTGAAATAGTTTAAAGATGGTCAAAATACTGGAAACATAATTGAAATGACACAGTAACAAATTGAGCAGTGATATATGATGTGGTCTCCTAAAATATAAACATGAATATATTTTCGGAATTTCTTTACTTGGTCTAACATTCCAGTGACCCACAAATAATATATAAACGTCAGACAGCTAATGTTTGACCTTTTTAAGACTTATTTTAAGACCATTGATGAATGTAAACTTCATCTAAATTTAAAAAGACAATTATTTAAGCTAAAAGTTGATGTTAGACTTCATTATGTGGCTGACCAAATCATGATGCTCTTAATATTATTCCATCAACATATTTGGTTGTACAAATGATTTATCAGTAGGAATATTTCCTACATTGTAAAAAAAAAAGACTGCACATGTTTAACATTTATTAGAGAGTATGTTTTAATTTGCATAGGTTTTCGTCAAAACTAAGTGAAAACTGTTTCTTAAGCATAAAACAGCTGTATTGCATAAGCATCTTTTGCGTATTCAATAAAGAATCCGGTATATTGACTATGATGTACAAATATACCCTGACGTTTCCAGAAAATAAGTTGGTCTGGTTCTTTTGCATTCATTGAAGCTTCACAAATATCCTAAACCAAAACCTGTCAAATAGCAGTAGCAGTCACAACGCTGCATGTAAGAACCCATGACCACATTTGACAGGCAATAAATCTGCAGTCGCCAATTTCAAATGATCACAAGGAAACGAATATGTTTCGACAAAGGTTACAAAGTGCCCTTTTATTATATGATATTTCAAAGCATGTAATCGTTTTCTTGCTACGGCTTTTTGCCGAGATGTCTTTTTAATCGTATATACATGTAAGAATTTTCCACTTGATTCAAAATAATCCCTCATTTAGGATTGATTTAGTAGAAATGGCTTTGCTTCGTTAAATCCTCGACAATGTTAGAACCTATTAATATCAGGTTTTGTCTGTTGTTGTCCGTTGTCTTACGTTGTCGATCTTTTGTAAACATTTGTATACTAGTATTTTGTAGGGTTTTTTTCTGAAAAAGAAATGAGATATTCAGACCTTTACTTCTAGGGTTCAATCCTAACATTTTACTAAAACTATGCAATATCTTTGAAATTTTACTATATTCTAGGGGGACCAAGTAGATATACATGTACATTGTATTTTTTCTAAATTCGTGAAATATGTGGTCCCTGGATGTAGAGCTTGCTCAGGGTGGAATTATTTTAAAATATTTCTTAACATCGGGAATACAGGCAGTTTGCTTGGTTGTACAAGGCTTTAAAGCCCCTACTTTATTCTTAAAATATTAACATCTTAATATTCACGGCTTATTTTCTGGAATAGTTGGTCATATAATACACAAAATAGGTTTTTATCATATGCTTACGGCAAGCAGTATGGTCCTGTACACGTTTTTTAAATTTTATTGTTCTTTTCCAGAGGTAGACGACCGAGGCCGAGAGTCAAAGATGCCAAGGTTGAGCGCACCTGTTCAGGAAGATAAACCTAAGAACCTTAAATCTCTTCCTAAATACCCGGCATCTTATGACAACCAAAGATATGGTCCAATGATGCGCACGCAGCCTCCACCAGACAGGTGGACACCAAACAACATGGCAATGCGCAGGATCCAAAAGATGATGGAGCAGAGATTGAGGTTGATAGAAATGATTGAAAGAAAGATGAGAGAACGTGAACAGTCTGTTTCTACTGTTCCCCCAGTTCCTCAATCTCCGGTAGGAAAACTTTTCCCTGCCGTAGGAAAATTTATAACAGTGAGCAAGTCTTTCATTCCTGCACGGAAAGGTATGTCAACACCACAACAGACCAAGATATCACAAATACCCATCCGTCAACAGCCTGCCAGACAGGTACCCAGAATTCCAAAGCCACAACAACAAAAACCACAACTCATTATCTCACAGAAAAAGAGCTTTGTACAGATTCCACGACCGTCAACCCCACAATTCTCTCCTGTCAGACAGTCCACACGTGTTCATATCAACATGCCAAATCCTTTCCCACAAATTCCTCAACGTCCACCAATGCAACAGCGACAAATGCCTCAGATTCCACGCACACCAGATCGACGCTTCCAGATGATGCCAGCAAATGCTCCAATGAACACACACTCACAATTCCCCAGAATCCCTCCCCATCCCATGTCTCAGCTCCTTCAGCGTATGGGTCAAGACAGGGGGGTGTTCCTGCCAAGGGTTCCTGTCCAGATGCCACCAGTTCAGGTTCAACCAGGACCCAACCTTGGTAAGCTTTAAAAAAACAGTGGCAATCTTTTTTCTCTCAAAAATCAAAATTCGAAGTTATTAGAAGTTGGCAATATAGTGTTTTCTTCTTAACTTCATACGTATATTAAAATTGTATATGATAAAAATTTCTTTTTTAAAGGTTTCCCTTCACCTCCACCATGTTTCGCTGCCTATCTCGACGTGGTTCAATCCTGTTTTAAGGAGTCGGGTGTCGAGATGCCCCCAGATCATGGCATTCTTAATGGAGACTATAATTACCGGGGCGTCTGTCAGTAAGTAAAGTTAATTAAATTCCAATTTTTACTTAATTTAGCTCGCTTAATATTATCAAAGGGCTTGATATAGCCAGATATTCTCAACCTACGATCAAACTGTAATTAAGAGAATGTTTACGCGTTGTTCTTGTTTTCAAGGGAGAAGATTCCTATTGCTGATTGTATAAAACGTTCTGTTCATCCATGTTCCACACTCCAGGAACATATGTTAGTCCGAACCACAATGGTCAACACCCTCTCTGAGATTGATAGGATCTGTCGTATCGACAATAGTAGGTTTTATATTTCTGCTTTGAAAAATAACAAATATCTAAGAATGAATTCTTGTACTGCGAGTATATGAATATTCAGTTAGAATGCACAACTTTATCTTTAAATTCTTGAAATTCGACATGTTGAAAGTGAAATTTCAAGTACATTTCTGATTCTGTAGTTCGAGGTATTGAGCACCGTATGTCAGCTGGAGACGATATCACTCCGCCGCCGACAGAGCTTCCACAGGACAACACACACATGCACGGTGACGTAGTCCACAGCCACCCACACGACCATCCACACGATCACTCACACGGTCATTCACACGATCACTCGCACGATGATCATGAACATCTTCCACTGGACACTCCACTCCATGAGAACACAATTCAGGTGCAACCAGCTACAGAACCCTCAACAGACGGAATACAGTTCCTTAGACCTTCAGGTCAGTTGATCAAAAGTTCATTGCTACAAACATGGCTACAGCCTTACAGATAATACTGATCTTAAGTATGATATACTTTTGGACACTTTTAACATTCATTATTTCTTTTGTTCTCAGATCAAATCAAACCTGAACCAGTAATAGACGACAAGCAAGACATTGCAACTGAAATAAAGAATGAAATCAAACCTGAGATCAAACAAGCCATCGATGAGGCGAAGAAAGACGAAAGTGTTATGGTGGAACTTACCAAGATGATCGAAAACAATGTGGATGGACATGGTCATGCCCATCCTCATATACAGCACACTCATGGTGACATCACACATGAGTATTATCTTCCAATCCTTATCGGTACAGCCATCGGTGTTGCCGCCATCTTCCTTCTTCTGCTTGCTATTCTTTGTGTTTGTTGCCGAAGAAGAATCAAGAAGAAAGTTTATGTTGAAAAAGAACCCGAAAAACCAAAGTTGTTCGAGGGAATCTACACTATTGGAGTGCCTCCTCCAGTTTATGAAGTGAACGGTATTCCTCCATTGTCGTATGAAGAAGTCCGAGGGGTTAAAATTACGGGTTCACCGTCTTCTGTTAGACGTCATAATGACGCAAACGACGAGGTTGAGTACAGCTCGCGCCGTGGAGTCGTGTCAGACATTTAAGTGAAAACGAGGCTAGTAGTCATGACGAACAGTGCTATTTCTTCAACCTTCCCAAAGTTTTCGTTTTACTGATGTAGAGCAAGATTTATTGTAATAATGCAATCTCGTGATAGAATCTCGTCCATTCTTGTGTGTCAAATAACAAGTATCTTAATGTATATGCAATGTAATTGGTTGAATAAAATTCAATATTATCTTTAGGTATTATCGAGTTCTTCTTGTCTTGAAAATGTTCCATTTGGTCCATCTTATACGTGGGTTGCGGTTGGAAATCTAAAATAAGGAAGTATCAGTTCATTAGTATGAGAGTGGGGGCTCACTAACATTAACAATTTTTTATTTATATTTTTTAGGTTCGTCTTACATAAAATTACCAAGAGAAAAAAACAAGTATAGTAATCTATTCAGAATTCACCTTGACAATTTTCCTTCAAAGTGCACGTGATATCTTGCAATAAGATCTCATGATGAAATATTTGACTCGACATTTGTCCTCCTTGCACTTTATCAGCCATATTTGTGTTTTTTTTTCTTTTCGTGTGAGACACTATGTGGCATGTTTTGCTGTAAGCTGCATGTGTTAATTATAGCTAAATATGACTTTAGTCTTTATGCTTTAATAGCTTCCAGATTCATTGACCAGAAAGTTGAAGCTGGTGTTATCTTAATCTGTAAAAAGAACCCTTGTGGGCAAGAAAATGTTTCTCTCACAACCTTGTATGCACAGGGACCAGACAGTCTTTGAACTGTTTCTACTTTTCCCCGGCCGATCTCTTTTAAAAGCAAGAATATCATTTTAAAACGTAACGTTTTTGAGAATTTAAATGAGACACGTGAAATATGCAGTAGGATAGCTCTTCACGCCGACCATCTGGGAAAATGACGTTCTAATTTAACCACTACTTTCATCATTTACTTTTTTTAATTTAAGCTGCCAGAAATATAAAAATAAAAAAAAGATAAATAGTTAAACGTATACATCTAGCGCAGTTTATAAAAGTTGAACATACGTTTCGTAATAGAGGAAATGTTGGGTAATAGTTTTAGGTGAAAAATATAATTTGGAAAAATTTCAACTTTTCGACTTTTTCCAAGTTTGATCTCTCAGATATTGGACATTTATGTTGACATATTGTAATTTAGAAAATTGGTCCAGAAGCAGTTTCTATGATATCAAAATCCTTGATTTCTTTATAGTTATTATTTTGCTTTAATAGCTGTTGTCAGAGGTTGTCTAAAGTGAAGAAAAAACTGTACGCTTCGATGTTACTGACTTTGGAATCATGTATTTTAACAGTTTAAATTTTCAAGGTTGAGAATTCACATCTGACTTAAATCATTTCAGGAATACTTTGTTAGAATGGAGTAGAAGAATCTAGAATGTTGAATTAAGCTGCTAAGGGGCAGTTTGAATGCCATCTCTTCTTGTATCTTCAGTATATCAGAAGTTGAAAAAGAATTGGATAGATTACGTTATCAAAATGTGCTAGTTCCAGTTAACAAAGCTGGCAATAACATTGTTTTGTCTGTAAGGCTCAATTTTTCATTTGTATTTGTAGAGGAACGTGCTTTTTATTCTGTAAGTATTAATTAAACTTTCAGTCATCATTCGTTTTCTAAGGAAAACATTTAAAATTCTTCAAAGCCGTACATGTCAGTTTTTTATATTCAAAATATTCCCTACTATTACAATGAGAAACTTGCAGAATACTGTACGCACAGCACTTTGTTTGAGAAGTGTTCAAATTCAGATGTGAATATGTAAAAATGAAAAAAAAAGATCTTTAGAAAATTTGAAATCACAAAATATAAGGAAAATCAAAAACAACAAATATAACGATTTTTCAAATTACTAGTACTTTTACAACCAATCCCCATGAACTATTTCTTTTGACCTCATAGACAGCTGCTTTTTCAATGGGATGCGTTAATTTTCTTACCTTATCATTTGCAATAACTTTAAAACTTTAAAAGATTAAGTCTTCCAACATGTTCTCGGAATTCCCATGTTGACCAGTAGAGCCCGTTATTAGAAGACTTTTTTTTTGGTATTCACATCAAGCAGAATTCATTCAAAAACTTTTACATGAAAAAAAAAGACATCTCTTGCCGTGAATTCAACATTTATATATATCAATAAAAAATATTCAATTTTATTCCTATGTTGGTTCGATATATCCCGTTGACCTCGAAATAAAAGATTCACTGAATCTGACACATTTGAGCCACAATGGGTATTTAGATTTTCATTAGAAAAAAATGTTACGAAAACTATAAAATACAATTAAAAAATGATGACTCAACGTCCCTCATTTGATTACCACCTGCATATTGAGCCTATGGCTCCCAATTGAATAGATACACAGGAACAAACAATTTTTAAAACGAGGCAAGCTACTGACAAACAATTTGAAGAAATAAGGAAATCAACTGTCTTTTTTAAAGTCATTCGTTTTCTAAGGAAAACATTTCGCATGTAGTTTTTTATATTCAAAATATTGCCCTACTATACAATGACCTTGTCGGCAATACAAGTGTATCAAGAATGTAAAAAAGAAAAAAAAAAGATCGAAAATTTGAAATCACAAAATTAAGGAAAATCAAAAACGATTTTTATTTTGGTTACAAATAATTTTCCGTTATCATTTGCAATATCTTTAAAACTTTTTTTTTCAAGTTTTTTTTTATATAACACACTACAATTGCCAGTTAACCCGGGTATTTAGGATAACCAACATAAAAACAACAAAGAAAAAGAAAATTCAAAATAAGTCATTATAACCAATTTGTTAAAAGTTTAACTAGGTCACACGTTTTCGACAAATTTAACATGTGGATGTAACATGAACTTCTCTTGTACAATATTTTCTATTCTGTTTTTCATTTTAAATTTATATATTTTATATGCCAGATATGATATTATAGTATTATAAAAACGAATTCTTGAATTTGTTTCCAAGTAGAATCCAAGTAGAATCCTACAACAATATGTTTCCATTGCACATCATAGTTCATAACAAAATTCAACTTTAGCCATACACCTTTTACATTATCACAATTAAAAATTAGATGTTTTATATTTTCATTTTTTGCAAAATTCACATTTTGCATTTTCCTACATTTTTGTAAAAAGGAATTGTATCAACAATTTATAGGACGTTTATCATTGAGTTTGATTTTATTTCTATAAATATTACGTTTTCTCTCACACAAAAGCATATTGTATTTAAATAGCAACATATAATCTGAAAAATGTCATTTTACAATTCAAACCACTGTATTCAATTAAAAATACAACACTTCATATCAAACATGCATTTCTTCCTTTTTTTGCTGTTCACACAAAAATTTACTATCATTTTCTTGTAATGTTTTAATTACCATTTTCACAAAGAGAGACAAAATATTATTATCCAATTTTTAAAACATATTGTTTTACTGTGTTTCCAAAGTGGTTGTTGTCAAATGGATAAATTTGATATTTCTATTTCCTTTTTACATTTTTAAATGTTCTTTATAAAAAGTAGACAGGTGAGAAATAAGTGAAAAGTTTTCGAGTTTTCCAGACAATGATTAATTCAAATGCATTTTGAATACTAGTCTTGTTACCCAAGATGCCTTTAAGGCCTTTAATTTCAGTTCAATATCAACTAATCCTATTCCCCCTTCTTCTTGTTTGCCTATAACAGTATCTCGTTTGTTCCATATAAAATTGAATACACTACTTTTTAATTTTTTTATAAAAAGGGAGGCAATACAATGTATCTTTGAACAAACAATGAAAGTCAAAAACTTTTAATATCTCTTGCCGTGAATATATATATTTAAAAAATATTATTTTTTTATGTTGATTCGATATATCCCGTTGACCTCGAAATAAAAGATTCACTGAATCTGACACATTTGAGCCACAATGGGTATTTAGATATTCATTAGAAAAAAAATGTTACGAAAACTATAAAATACCATTAAAAAATATATGTATTTGATTTATAAAATTTTACAATTTTTAAAACGAGGCAAAAAAACAATTTGAAGAAATAAAATCATCTGCAATTATATTTTCACATTAAATTTATTTAATTTTCTGTCTTTATATATAAATAGGAAATATTCATGACCTTTGAGAAACCTATTCAAGATTAATAATTATGTGACATTTTGAATTTCTTTCCTTTTGCTGTTCATGATCAAAACCCTCTCATTTTCAATAATTTTGTACAAAAAGACAAAATAAAAATATGTTAAAAACTCTGTGTTTCAGTCAAATGGATTTGTGATATATATTTTTTAAAACTTATATTTTTTGGATACTGTATATTAGTAGATAAACTTTATAAACATAATTCACATTTTCATATTCCCCAAAGAAAATACGCATTTAATTATTTATAAAATTTTACATAGAAAAATAATAAAATCATCTGCAGTGATATTTTCACATAAAATTTATTCAATTTATTCAATTTTCTGTCTTTATATTAAATAGAAAACAATCATGACCTTTGAGAAACCTATTCAAAATGAATTATTATGTGACATTTTGTTTTCTTACCTCGAATATGACGGTTTTACAGAAATACTTCGAAGAACTGACATCAACATGAATAACATTTTTTTTAAAATATGAACGAGATTTTTCTGAAAATAATATTTTCGATGAATACAATGCAATGATATGCTTGAAGGAGAGAACTTTCTGTGACTATAAATATAATGTAAAGAACTTGGCTGTGTAGAGTAACATTTGAAAGCAGCATAGTACTGCAGTCCTCGGCAGTTTTCTTTTATTATGAATCCTATTACAGATCTATTTCTCATGTCTTCACTTCTGTAATGTTAAAGTTTCTTTTCTATATTGCTTCATGTTTTGAGGTAGTTTTGTTTTAGACAACCTGTACTGCATCTATCATCCTAGCAAAATGTTAAAATGAAAAAAAGGTGAAAGTAACGAACAATAATCGATCTAAAAATTCTATAAACAAAACAATTCTGTGGACATAATATACGGACCCCTGGGTATTTCTGAAATGGCCGGGATCAGGTGCTTTGGATGAGTTAGCATCTCCTGTTAACTGATTACACCCGCCCTGAGCTCTATGTTTTCATCGGGCCGACGGAACATTCCATAATCAAATTCAGTATAAAAAGCTGTATGGAACTATACAAAATATGAGTCAATAGTGCGGTTTATTTGCATATATCAAGGTGAAAATAATGACCAATTTTTGAATTTAAATGTTGACTTTAAGGTTATTGAAATCCCTGTAACACCAACTTATCTGACAGTAGGTTGTCTATGTTTAAAAAGTGATGGTACTCGGGGTATGCTCTTGGGCATTGAATAAGTTTGTAAACAACACAAGTAGGTGAGGATGGGTTCTTGGACTAGTTTGTGCATCACTGCTGTAAATATAACACAAATCACACTTTATATATAATTTAGAATGTCGAAAATTTATGCGGTGAGTTAACTTTTTTTTTCAGAGATCAATTTTACTCATTCTTAAGTTATACTTCTTTGACCAAAGTAAAGTACAACTATGACATAAAATAATGCAATAATTAGAAAATGATTTTAGCATTTTTATTGCATCTTTAATAACATTATATTACAGAGCATCAACAAATTAAAAAATATACTAACAGAAAAAATATGAGTAGTTCTCTAAAAGAAAAAGTAACAGAGTTATAACCCTACATTAAATTGTTTACAATTGCCTGACAAAATATGATATAAATTCACCATGTAACGAAGGAATGTCATATATCACATTACATTCTCACCCAGACTAAGAGATCTGCAGATTTTGTACTCCGTCAGTATGATTGTTCAAAATCAGTACATTATGTTGAGAACATTCAAACAACACGATTTCAGCACATATATTCTCAGTTAAAGCACCTTAATTTGTGTCTTAGATTTTTAAAACATCTCAAATATACTGTATAACACAAACATAACATCATCTAATTCAAGCATTGTGATATAAAATATTGCTGGACATGGTAGAAAAAACTGAGATAACTTGTAAATCCCCCCGCTAATCTAGAGATCTTGAAAGGAGTTTGAACTTGTAGAATAAGGATTCTGATATCATTGCACACTAAATACATGTAGCAATTTGGAATACATGTAATATTAAAGCTCACATTTACACACATAAACACACTGTCTTGACAGTGAAATCACCTTAAAAATTCCACACTGGAAAAAAATCACGATTATTCATTAAAGTTTTACAATGAAGTACATTCAACTTAAATACATTCAATAACAGATGCTTTTGAAGCAATGGACAATGAACAATGAATGAGAACTATTTCAGGTTTCCCACTGGTCAATGAACAATGAATGAGAACTGGTCAAGCTCTGTCATTGGTTCACCTGAGACCTCCTAAAGGACTAGAACACCATGATACAAGTCATCTCCCTTGTAAATCTACATTGTCTCCCTTGGTATTTGCTCAGAAAAATATATTACAACAGAAAGAAAAAGGAAGCAAATATATATCAGAAAATGTGCACTGTATTCATTGGCTGATGTTAATATTTGCGCAAAGGAATAAATATATATGACAAATTATAAGACATAAAAAATTAAAGCATTAAAAGAGAATTTGAGTATCAAATGTTTTTTTTTTAACTGTAAAACTGTAAAAGTAGATCACTATATTTTTGGGAACAATTTTCACAAGCTGTGATTCATGTTGTATAGAATCCTTAACAATATAAAGTTTTGTACAGGCAATTAAGTGAATAAAAAGTGATTTTCAGTAGAATGATTTACTGTCTCTTTGTAAAATCAGTAAATCTCAGGGATTCTTACTGTGTGTGTCAATTTACAAGCTAATAAATTGTACATACATTTTTAATGAAAACAATTCTTACATGTAAATGAAAAATAGTCATCAATAAATATGTGATCTTTTACATACTTCTCATTTTGTTTGTGTATGTATATAAACATTAAAAGTAGAAAGTAGATAATAAGTTTGTAGAGAATTGATTTGTGCTTTTAAAGGCACTATTGCAAAGAAAATTTATTCAGAATGTATAAACAGCAAATGAAAAACTGCTGGATATATCAACAAATCTCATAAATGTAAAGCTATGATGTAATTTTATTTTGGTTATTGTAAACGAATTATTGGCCACCCTGGCATTTTTAACAATACTTCTCTAAATCTTAGATGTATAAATACACCTTTATGGCAAATGTCAATCACCATTAGTTTTAACTCATTATCATTGAAAAAAATAATAATTAAGCGTGCAATATATTTGTTAGCCTGATTTTTCATATGCACATCATTTTCATTTCATTTGAGTTAATTTCCAAAAAAAAATTGACAACTTAATTTTTTGTAATTAAGACAAATCCTGGCCCTCATATTACATATCCCCCGGCCCTTATCGTTTGCCAGTCTGTCGCTGTCGGCCATTACTCTGCATTAGGTTGCGTAGTTTTTGGAGATTCTGTTGCGTTGTTGTGTCTGTAGGTTTGAGTTTTAGAGCTTCCAGATAACTCTGCTCTGCCTTCTCAAGCTTTCCATTTAGATGATACATGGCTCCTAAATTCATGTGAGCTGTAGCCACCTAAGAAAGGAAAAATAACTCATAATTAAAAAAAATTCTGAATAGGAGTTATCTCTCTTAGTACATGATGTATCAGCTTTAATGTGATGACTTACATTTGGTTTGAGAAGTACAGCCTTTTCATAGAGCTTCTCTGATGCCTCATTATCACCATCTTGTCTGAACAAAAGGAAATAATCAAAATAAAATGCGTCCTCAAACTGCTAATGACTATTTATATCATGGGTGAAGCACCGGTCATAGAGATTATTTATCTACTTAGAGATTTATTACATAATATTGTAAACTTAATAAAGTGATAATTGCTCAATATTATAACCATTATACTGCATTTATTCCATGATTTCATTTGATGACCTCATTGAAAAGGCCATGAAGCAGATTTCTAAACTTCCTTGTCAAAGCCTTTTTAAGAAAACTTTTTGTAACAATTAAAACTGTTCTCAACAGAAAAATTCACATTTTAGTTTATATGGCTAAAGTATCTCTACAGGTGTCAGAATCAGAATCAGAAAGTTTTATTTAGAGTCGGATTTTTAAAACAAGTAAGATAAGCTCTGTAGAGCTTTTGACCGACATAACCTGAGTTGACATTACTAGTTTATTTCTCTAACCTGAGAATATTTGCTGCATTAAAGATGAGTTCAAAGTCATTTGGAGATTTCTGGATGGCTTTTCTGTACATGGTGGAGGATTCCTTAAGTCTGCCGGTCTCACCAAGAAACTGGGCTGTAACAGAGTCAAACAGAATTCTCATCATGACAGAGGGTTACTTCCCCTCATAGCAACAACAGGTTTTTTACACATAGAAAAAATATGGCTATTTCAACTTTCACCTATAAATTGTTAAACATGTATCATGCCTTCATAACAATACATGTTTAATACATGTATTTGAATAAAAAGTTTGTAAAAAGTAACATGGTTACTTATCTGTTATATACATATATCATGGAATTCCATGAAAATCATATTAGCATTGTGCAATTCTGAACAAAAAATTAACAAGCAAGGAATTTCATAACAACATGATGATAATTAGATACCATAGTGATGGTCCACCATCGTGTCCTCGGGGTCCAGTTGTTTGGCTTTCTTAAACCACTCCTCTGCCTCTTTTATCTGGTTCTGTCAATTAAATTTATTACCGTATAGAAATTCTAAATAATTTCTGCGTAATCAAGTTGGAAAACTTTTTCTACAAAATTTGCTGAGTCTTAATACAATGAATACTAGTATGAGGAAAATGGCTTAATATATAGACTTCTGAATGAATACATGTAAGTAAAAGAATTTGCAAATTCATGTTTCATCTTTTTCCTTTTTTACTCAATTATTTACCAAATTTATAGGTTTAATTTTGTTACCAAAGTTTGTTCTATATCGAGGAAAGCTGAAGCATTACAATGAAATTTTGATTTTAAACAGAACAACATTTAGGGAAGTGTGGAATATAGAGAATGCTGAGTTTCCCGTGGTCACCTTTTTATGGAGGAGCTTAGCCATGGTCAGGTGAGCTGGCACGTGGTCAGGCTTGGCTTTCAGGGCCTCTTTGTACCACTTCTCAGCTTCTTCTATCTGACCTATCTTCATGTATACCTCACCTGAAAAGTAACCAATTAAATCTTAGATTATCTCTAAAAGTAACCAATCAAATCTTAGATTGTACCTAAAAGTAACCAATCACCTAAATATCAATCAAATGGCAGATTATTTGTCATATAAAAGTGTTAATGTAAAAATAACTTGGATGCAAAATAAAAATATCCATATTTTTCTTATTATCTAACTAAAAGTCATATTAAATATATTAAAAGTGTTAATGTAATAATAAATCTGGAAAGAGATAAAAACATTCAAACTACACTGATATTTATTATTCAATTAAAAGTCAAATTAAAATATTTTTGCCTCCCTTATAGACCAACTGCAAGAAATTAATATTGACGTAAACAGTATACCGGTTCAAGGATTAGATATCAAAACATTTTTAAAAAAGATTTTCATTTAAGGTTGCTTTATTTTTTATGTGTACAATTCACCTTTTTTTTTTTGAAGAGTTTCTATGAACCATTTATAATTTGGATAAGTTTATTATGCTCATGTATAACAAATATAAATCATGATGTACTTTCTAAAAAGCAATTTCTTGCAGGTGAAAATAGGCAGTAATTTGTCTAGCAAAAAGGAATGCCCTGCTCAATAACACATTGTAATTGCAGGTTATTTATGGGTAATATAAATTTCATCAAAAGGGGAGTGTTTACTAATTGCTTACAAACGATGTGCAATAAAAGATTCCATGCACATCGTAGGCACTTGAAGTCAATCATTCGAGTGTGTAAAATTAAAATCAAATGCATATTTCAAACAGCAATTCAGTCTCGTTTTAATTGAACTTATGCATTACATCACTGGAATACAAATTTCTACACGTGGATGCATTTATTAATAGGCATCAATTGAATTACTCCAGGCAAAAACACTTCATTTTACATACTAACAAAGACTGCAAATAATTTCTGTGCCCTTTTATGCAGCATGTTCAAGCAATACCTGAGAGTTTTATAGCGCTGTACATATCAATGCTGTTCTTACGCAATGGGGTTTTAAACTCAGCTGAACACTTGAATTTAAAATGACAAAGTAACGAGAAATTAATGCACAATTTTTATTCACTTGCAGAATCCTAAAGAATTTGATTGGGGTCCGCTCCCCCATAAATCACTGACCCTGTTCACATCACATGGAGAATTATACAGAAACCAAACAGAGTTCTGCAGCTAATCTTCGCACCCCTCGACACCCTACATACCCACGTCTGGTCCGGGGAGGGGAGTGATATATTTATGGCTTAAGGTAAATAAAGTCCCAGCAGTTTTTTGTGTTAAATTACACAATTATATGTAACTCTAGAAATAGCAAGAATAGGATGAAGTGAGATGTGTATAAAACAGATATCATTATTTCCACACCTGCTCTTTGTATGGGGTGAATTTGAACTTGATTTGATATTAAAATGTCCTTTTTTTAAGGATCGAATGTTTTGACAACTTAATATCAAACTGAAATATAAATGATCAAGGCTACAGACACACTACCAATAAAACATTGATCACTCTCTATACTCCATTAACAGAAAAATGTGTAGCTGAGAAATAACTTTCACTTGAACCACTCAAACAAGTCTACACCCAGTCAGGACCAATAAAATCAGAAAATATTATATACAGGTAATTAATGTAATTAGATCATCTAGAACATTATTAAGGAGGAAAAAAGTGAAAAAAAAATCAAGACATAGCTACGGGGATTTTCTTTATGTTATAAAAAGATTGAGGAGCATTACCTAATGTTATAAATAGAATGAGGAGCATTGTAGTTGGGTCTCCTAAGACCACTGCTTTTCCCTGCATTTACCCTATTATACCAAGGGTGTGTTATAAACAGATATTAAGGGGGCACAACCACTGGGGGTTTCCCATATGTTATAAATAGATAGAGAATGATTACCTAGCATGTTATAAATAGACTGAGGAGCATAGTAGCTGGGTCTCCTTTTGAGAGCCTCTCTGTAGATTTCTATGGCTTCCTTGTTCCTCTCCTGTTCAGCTAACATCCTGCCCAGGTTATACAGGGCCGAGATCTTAGTGTTCTCATGGAGACGAGGGTCCTTAAGGCCGGAGGTGTCAAGGTCAGCGCAGTGACGGTAAATCTAATAATAGATATCAACAATTACAAATCTAATTCATCAATACAATGAATTAATGCATCAAATGTCTGCTTCTTTTATTTTCTGCATTACCTTTTTTAAAAACTATTATTATTTTAGTCTTATACTTAAAATCTTTTTCTTTTAAAGCTGTCATTTTCGTAGATTTATTTTGTCATGAGACCCTGAAATCTGCTAATTATTACTTTAATTTCTACAAAACTGGTAAATTGGGCTACATTTTACAGACTGATTATGGGTACTTCTCCTTTCTTTCAAATATAATTTTTGAATTGTTTGGAATGATTTCCTTTCACTCGTTTTTTAATCTATAAAATTGAGATTGTAAGAGTGTACTGCTGACCTTTTCTGCCTCCGCATATTTCCCCTGACCAGCATAGATGATGGCCAGATTTAGATGGGCCACTGAAAGAGACGGAAAAAAACATAAATGGTTAACTTTTTTAAGCAAAGCACAAATCTTCTGTTTCTAAATCCTTCTGTTTATCATAAGATTTTATTATTTTGAAATCAAATTGAAAAATTCCCTAGAAAAGCACCATCATACAAATGTATCAAGAATTGTATGTGAATGAAATTTCATCAACAATAATATTTCACTTTTATAGAATGTTTATTGCCCTTGACTTGAGATATCTTCTCATCTCAGATATGAAATCTTACAAGTATGTAATTCTAATGTAATTATCTTGATAAATGCATACTTTTATGCAAATTCACTAGACTGTAAACATTAAAAATTTTCCTTGAAAGAAAAAATATAAAAGGACCACAATTCTGTACAATGAACTAGCAGGCCACAAAATTAAAAATTTGAAAATCTCCCTCCATGTCAATTAATTACATTTAGTCAATCAAAGGCCCCAAGAAAAAGCCTGCTAGCTTGGCTTTTCATCTTCATAACAGCAGGACAAGGACTCCTTTTGAACTGACAAATCGGAAACTCTGAATTCTCTGTAATTAAGAACTGCACTGTATGGATTTATAGAATTGCTTTTTCACAATTCACTGCCCTTTGCTCAATAGCTTTGATAACTGTTGCATGGAATGACTGACGCTGGCAAGAAAATATATGGTGGACTCCCCACAGCTTTTCTGACTGGGGCCTCATTATCAATAGTGGGTTTTCAATTTGGAAATGATTGAGTAACCTCTAAAGCCGTGGAATATTGTTACTAATTTTTTTCTTCAGATTGATAAACGTGTTAGGATTTTTTGTTTTCTGCTTTACTTTATTTCAGTTTTAACATATTCTGGATGCAGACATTGCAGAGAGAAAATATTTGCAGAAATGCCACTAGCTAATTGTTAACTCAGGTTTCTGATAATTGAATGAATTATTGTCTACATTATTTTGAAGTTAAGATTTTTTTTTTCTTGAACATAAACTGATCAGCATCTAACCTTATTTTTTAGGAACATTTTTTTCTGCAAAAGATACTGCTTTATTAAACTGTTCAATCATATGAGATGGCCAACATAAGTTAGCTCCCCTTAAAAAACACTCTTCAATCATGAGATAGCTGAGATAAAGTTACCTCCCCTTACACATCACTCAGCAGCTGATGCCATTTGTCTTAATTTCTTTACCCTCAATTTATTTTTAACTGTTACAAGAATCCTCAGCCAGGAAATTCTTATCATAACCTGTCATCACTGATTAAAATATATAACTGTCTTAAGATTATTTCTCTGTGCTGTGTGTTCTCTAATTGCTTCTCATTCACATAAAGTGCACATCAATTTTAACATATTTCTACACAAATATTTTTTACCCATTTCATTTTTATGACACATATAAAATAAAAAAATACACACATTCCTGTAGATTAATCTGTTAATATTTATGTCACTATTTAATATATATATATCTGAATGGACAAAATCATATTCGAGTCTTAATACTATAAGTAAAATTGAATTTACAATTGTGTTTGAAATATCATTGAATACAAGAAGAAAAGCATAAAGTTTTGAAATTCATGGGAAAAGTCTTAGGAATTCTGATTTTTGTCAGAAGAAGCCTGATGGCATATTTCAATCTGTTTTTTGTGTATAAAACCTTACTTGACAGTTTAGGTCTGTACTGAATCGCTCTCTTGTAGCTTTCTACAGCGGCTTCCATCCGTTTCTGATCCTGAAGCAGGATGCCTCTGTAATGTAAATAAATTTCACAATCTGAGCAAAATTCAAAAGACAGACATGTGTGTAAATATATCTCAAGTTGGCAGTTGATTCCAACATCCAAGATCTTTTTGATGCTACATTGGAAAGAGCAGCTGCTAAGAATTTCCTTCATTTTTTTGGTTATAATTATCAACATGCATCTGTCTTTTTTGTTTTCTCTTAGAAAGTTAAAATCAAAAATAATATAAGTATTAAAAGCGTTAACTATATAATTATATATCCTAAGACATGAAGGGTTATTTGAATTTCTTTTTCAGAAAGCTTGTTGAATGCTTCAATCATAGAGTATAAATTTTTCCTGTGGATTATTTGATTGACTTGAATATGCAGGGTTCCTATCTTCTTCCTATACAAATGTTAAACCCCCCTTTTTTCAGGGAAGAAAGACACCTTTCGTCAAGGGGATTAACTCCAACAAAGCAAACCATTCAACTTCTCACCCAAAGCATCAGCGTGTTTATGGATCCCTAATGATATAGTGTTATTTTATGGAGATATGGTCATAACTTCATATGAATTGCAAATGTTTGCTCATTCCATTAGGAAAATGATTTGAACTTTATGCAGAGATAAAAATATTATGTTTGTGCAACATAGACATTTTTCTTACATGTATTGATTTATACAACATTGTATGCAGATTTTATTTTTTAAGTCTGTTGTATCTTCAATGATATGTCATTACAAAATCATAAAGTTATGCATGATGCACCATAATATCTAAATATCTGAGCCAGTGTTAAATTGTAAAACTGCATAAAGAAGCAGATTGTGGGGCCTGAAGATAATACCATATAACATGACAATGGAACTCTGTAATAAAATCTACAAACTATACTTGTTACACCTTCATATCAATTGGTCTCGGATGTCTGTGAACTATGTTATAGCATAACAAACGAAACTTAAACTCCCAGAGGGTTAACATTTGATAATGACGTTATCGAGTCAGTAATACATCAAAAACTACAGAAATTTACGCTACCTAAAGAAAGGGAAATCTTGGTTAAGACCACTAAATCCAACTGCTGAATTTTCTTTTAGTCAACTACCATTACATAAATTCAAAGATCTTTTCCTTGTTAATTATAGGTTGCTATTTATTTTTTCCTTAAGTAAATTTTCCAGCAGGTATTGCTGAACAGTCATTGAGGTTTACTGAAGCGTGCCTCCCTCAGTTAAAGAATCTACCCTCATTTCACTCCTCGGTACATCCAATCAAGCTTTCATCATAAGTACAGTATGATGGCTGGGGACTCTGACTTATGCCTGACAAAAGGATGATCAAATCAATTGAGAGGTACCCCCAGGGGGTCAGGATTAACTGGCTCTCCGTGAAAAATCCTGTCAGCCCTGTCCTCTCATGTCCCTAGCTGAGCAACCACCCCAAAAATTATTCCCAGTTAAATCATTATCACCTTATGTGAAATGTTACAAAGGTGCACAAGGGCATAATAAGTTTATAGACCCTTTGTTCTGTACAAATGAATTACAATATTACAGAGTAGATAGACCCTGGTGCCCTGTACTTCTGTACAAATGAATAAAAATATTCTGAAATCAAACCAACTAAAGAAAGTCTAGCTTAGGTTAATTTTTTCCCCAAAATTACTAATTTATTAGACATTTTTGATGCTTAAATTAAACACAGTTTTACTGAGCAGACATCTCTGTTTTTCTGTAGTGTGGTTCTCCTGAACCTATATTTGTTATAACCTATATTCTCTCTAACAGAAAATCAATTATTCTCTGTAGATTTTGTGATGAGAAATCATTCGACCCTATCTAGCTTGACACAACACAGATAATCTCAATATTTATGTGGTATCAATTCTTATTTAATATATCTAGTGAAAAAAAAAAAGTACATTGTATCAGCCATATTGCCCCTGTGTTTGAGAGCATTTCTATATCATTGTATAAAACACTTCAAAAGCTGAGGGCCTTACAGATTATAGTGAGTATCAGCCATATTGCCCTGTTGTTTGAGGGCTTTCTATATGTATAATACACTACAAAAGCTGAGGTCCTTATAGGTTGTATAGTGAATATCAGCCATATTGCCCCAATGCTTGAGGGCATTTCTATATGTATATATAATACACTACAATAGTTGAGTGCCTTACAGGTTATACGGTGTATCAGCCATATCGCCCCGGTGTTTGAGGGCATTTCTATATGTACAGTACACTACAAAAGCTGAAGGCCTTACAGGTTATAGTGAGTATCAGCCATATTGCCCCAGCGCTTGAGGGCCTTTCTATAGGTATAATACATTACAAAATCTGAGGGCCTTACAGGTTATAATGAGTATTAGCCATATTGCCCCGGTGCTTGAGGACGTTTCTATAGGTATAATACATTACAAAAACTGAGGGCCTTACAGGTTATAGTGAGTATCAGCCATATTGCCCCGGTGTTTGAGGGCATTTCTATAGGCCTGTTCTGCCTCCATCTTCTTTCCCTGTTGGTTCCAGACATTGGCCAGGTTACCCCAAGCTAGAAAAACAAAAAATATAAAATATATGAAGTTATGACCACATCATGTATAACTGAAAAGGAAGGAAATATTGATGGATTAGTAGACCAATATTCAAACTTCAGAATGCCAATCCTCCAAATAACGAACAACTATCTAGTCAATCATCATATTACCAGAATGTTTTCTCTTTAAATGCCGGGCCCCTACCCAGCACAAAAAGAAGTCAGAACCACACTGACACACCCTTTACCTGAAACTTCAGTCCACAGGTAAAGCCATAAAAGAAAAAAAAAGGAACAATAAAGATTTAGACCAGCAATTACACTAGTGTATAAACTCATTTAAGTTCTCTCTCAAACAAGATCAAATCAAACAGATAGGTCAATATGTAACTACAGAGCAACATGATTATCTTGAACATCTATATCTTGAGAACCCTGGATATATTGAAATATTAAGGTGGAAGTTCCACCTCTACTTTGTTTTCTATATATTTATCTCAAAACTAATATCTTGAACCCTAAGAACAGATTTCTCTTTCTTTTTTCTTGGTCCCATATAGTGCTACATAACAATTAAGGTTTGACTTTATTTCAACAAGCCTAATAATTCTTAATTTTTTTTAATGGATTATATATAAAATATTAAAGGACTAATGGAACTGACAGTCTGACACCCAGATGGCTGATGGATTTTAAATATTTAACCAGTAAGATTAATTCATCTTGTCTACCTGAACAATCCAAGTGTTACACCACAGACCACCAGATGTCACCCTGTGTCAGTGCCTATAATCAACCAATCAGATTGTTATAACACAGACCAGCTGATGTGTCATGTTCTACCACAACTAATGTCAATCAACTTGCATGTTTCCCCTGCATCATCAGCTAATGGAAGAATTCTACCCCACAGCCATAGAAAGGTACTACATGTGTACAATAAAATGTTTTCTGATCTTTATCAACAACTACAAACTTGTGTTCAGCATTTCAGAAGCTGTAAGCCTCGATATCAACAGTCAATCATCATGTGTTCCATCAGGGAATCCTTCCATTTTAAGATGGTCAACTACAGATCAGGCTTCAGGAGAGCTTTTAGGGCCTGAATGCTTACTTACAATTAGGAAGGACTTATGCTTTTATTTTTTTTTGTTTCCTGTCAGAAAACTTTTTTTCCCCTTTAAATGTATCCTTAGCTATAGGTTCATATTCCAGTAGCTAAAACATTAGCAATGCTAAATACAAGTTAAATAAATAGACAGAACCTTTTAATTTGCAGATTAAGTATGCTCTGAAAATTGGGTTTCCATGGACAGATGGAATATCATATGGTATATGTACCTTTTGGATAAAAAAGAACATCCTACAGAACCTTTTCCACCACAAATTAGATGCTGTGTATTAAAGTGTCAGCTTTTAAAATAAGGCAGAGTCATAAAAGACCTTACAATTTACAATATCCTTTAGCATGTAATTCATTTTATCTATTTTGGCATATTTTTAGCTTAAATTCTTTTTGAATTTTCTTTCACCAATAAATATCATCAATAATAACTACCAGGGTATAAACAACAGTTTAAGAGTTCACCTTTAGCTGGGTTGGTGGACAGTCCAGAGCTGTACAAATTCTCCTCAGATTGCCAGACTCTGTTACGGAGAAACGTCCTGCCAGAAAGCATTAACAACAGAAGTCCTACACTTCCCAGAATGCACTTCTTCTTCACTTCGTCACTTTTGTATTTTTTATATAAACTATTAGCACCATGCGCCACTAGAAGACAAAATCCCATACTAGGAATATAAAGCACTCGCTCCGCAATCACAAATCCTACATAAAAGAATAAATTTGTTGCTGGAATGAACGGAAATACCATCAGAGATATTGAGATAATTAAGATGTCTTGAGACTTGTAGATCAGGGATCCCCGCTCCATTGGGTCCTCCTCACTGCCTGTTGAACTGTTGGATCCTCGCCGGGAATGTTTATGACGTTTGCCATTATGACTATTTTTTGGACTACTATGGTTCCCGTGATGTGACACACCATTACCGTTTAGGTGCGGCTTCACCAGTGGAGATGTTTGACTATTATAATGACTGCTTTTATGTAAATAGGTCAATAAATTGGATGAAGCATAAAATAAAATTGCGTAAAATACAATGGAAAATACATTTCGTATATCTCCTATGGACTCGACCAATGGAATTGCATCCATGGACCAATCAAAACTGAGCACTCTTGGACACAACAAGATCCACATGTTGTACACCGGAAGTAAAATGTACGTAAGAAATCGTGTCACCACGGAGTCGGAATCTGCCGCTGGATTATCAGAGGGAGCGAACTCCGGGGGTTTATTTCCCATGAACATGATTCGGAATGCCACCAGGAGAATTCCTATCACAGCTAGGTACAGAATCCCCTCCCGAATCTTTCTGTTTCCCAGCTGTAAAACAGAAAAATATTTAAATCTTATTCCTTATATATGAACAAGGTTTTGTAATACACATTCAAAATCATCATAAACAATATTGTAATATCCAGAATTTTAGATTTTAATTTCATAAGAATGGGAAGGGGAAGAAGGGAGGGGGGGTTACCCCATAAAATACATGTAGTAATTACATGTGAGGTATCGACTTCAGGGGACATAACTTTTACTTTAATCTTTTTATTGCTCAATACTTGAACATTTATTGCATTTCTTGGAATATTATTATCATGTGATTATCTTTCAAACTTATCTGTGTGAACTGAAGTTTATATTTTTTATCTCTGGTTAACATAACTATATACACCAAACAGAGCTGCAAACTTGTAGTATGTGTATGTAACTAATCATCACTATTTTTCTGAGATAAATATTCATTTTATCATAATAAAGCTGGGTGAATGGAGTATAAATAACAAGTAATGGACACAGGTTTATTGGTTTGCTCAGCCATATAAACAACTTAATCCTTTATAAACTAGCTGTTAACATTTTACTACCCCTGAAGTTTGAAGCACTTAGAACAGGTTTTTTGAGTAGAAACTTTTACAAATGACAGTGCTTTATAATGATGATCTATTTTTATAATTTACAGAAGTAAAGTACGAAATAATTATACACAGCTGTGACAAAATTGCTAAGTGGTAACATATATCACAAATTCGTGGTCGTTAAATAAACTCGAACATCGTCGTCACCTTTGTTCAGAAGATCAAATAAATTTACGCATCACGAAAAATGCACAAAAGAGCAGCAAAATTAACATTACATATTAATTTCCAATAACTTGGCCAAGTAAAACTTCAAATGGCACAATTTCATATCTTTGTAATAGTTACTTCATTTATACTGTATGATCTCATCTCATTTGCAGATCTAAGTAAATATTTATTGTTCAAAATAGGTTTAGTGAGAAGAAAATGAAACAGTTGCTAGTGAAAAAAAAGCACTGTAATAAAAGTGAGGCAGCCATCGGAACAATGAATTTTGTAATAAGTCTGAAACTCTTTAGAAATGACTGGCTGCTGAATATAATAAAATTATTCCTTAAATCATTTCAAAAGTTTCAAACATAATGATCTAAAGAGATTGCGCTTTTTATTTTGAGAAGAGTAATTTCATGTAACAGTTTCCCATAACGTGTCCACGAAATATTGACATGGACGCCCTTATCTTAAATTCTAGAGAAATCAATTAACAAAGCAGTGTTATTATTCAGTGGGTTACGACTAGAACACACAAAATCTTTAAGACCCAACATAGCTAGGTTCCGAGGCTTTGATAGTCCAAAGAGATTTTAAAAACTCTATTAAAATATTTTATTAACTAGATGTTTAGAGTATATTCATTTCTGAAGCTTAATTCATCATTATCTATAAAACAACATTATTTCCAGACTACATCAAAAGGTATATATCAGGATATATTTGTTTTCTAGGAGACATTTTGTTGATTTTAATGCACCCCTCCCCACTTATTAATCTGATGTTTCATTAAGCAATATCTGGCCAGAGTAATATACAATAACATCTTACAAATCCATGCCTCAGTAGCTAACAACATACCTACATGATAATAACATACTCCCTTAGACTATAATTTATTAATCTTCTTTCAAAAATGAATTACATCTTTTTAAAGAAATTATGACAAGAAAAAAATTAATTTTCAACACATTATTATGAGATATGCATATAACTAATAAATTTTACATGTATTGAAACAAACAACTATGTTAATTTTTTTTTAACATGTTTAAAAATCAAAATTAATATAAAAGTATGCTGCAATTTAAAAGGGATAGATGTACTATGCTTTTTATTTATAAAGTGGTAGATTCTGTCCCCTAGATCTCAATATGTAAAAGCTTAACAGATTTCAAGGGCCATAACTCTTGATTTTTTTTTTATATTGGGTCATTCTTAATCCAAAGATTTTATTATATTACAGAAATTCTATACTTATCAATCACTTTTGTAAGTCAGCATGACTTTTTCAGTATCTTGTATAATCCTATCATGGAGGGAATTTTCTATTACAAAATAAAGGCAGGCGGGAAACCTGACATTAATTTCAGGTGATCAGTCAAACGGTTCTAGCCTCTAAGAGATTAAACTCATTTTATGATATCACTATCTTATAAAGTGAATGTTAATTTTACACCTTAAACAAATTTATCAAGGATTTTCACTGATTTCTCTCACCTGTATTAAAAGTTACAGATGTCAATTAGGTGCCGAGTTGATATAGATATATTGTTTGTTGGGGGTAATACATACAGTTAATCTTGTCCAAAATGTACAAAGGTTGCCAATGCGGGTTTTCGTTAAGACCACATATATAGGAAATACCCATCAAAGGGGTTAGCAGCTAAGGATTTAGGAAGAATTACTCTTCCACAGCACATGGAGGCAATAGAAATATTTTGACAAAAAACAAGTTGGATAAATTCTTAAAATGTAATTTTTCAGGCTTTTCTGCCCAATAGCTCTAGACAACTTATTCCCAGCTTAGAGCTTCCTTAATCCAACGGATCAGGGTTTTTCTGACATTTGATCAATAAGTGTGTTCTCATTTCTTGATAGAAGAATGAAGTTAAAAAAAACTTTGGCTTGCATTCGGGAAGTTTTAATATCAAGGAGGAACATGCAAAAGTGCAGTTTTTGAACAACAGAAATAATGCGGTAAAAGGTTGTGTTTCAGAGTTCTCTTCAATCAACAAAGAAATTTCTTATTTAATGTGAGCAGTTTAAGAATTGCAATTCTTCAATGCAGGATTTTGATTTTTTTTTTTTCGTTTACATTTTAATTTCTTCATCCATCATGCTTGTTTTCAAGTGACAAATGACATAAATGGTTAGACAAATGCAATTTTGAAATGCCCTGCAGCATGAAACTTTAATTCCATTCCATTTTCTTACCACTGTCGATTAAGCACTGCATCACAATATATCAAGTTATATCCCTTCCCTATGGGCAAAATGAAGATGCAATTTAATAAATTGTAAATAATGATTCAGACAAATGATAGAGTTGACTGAATATCCACTTACCCATCTAAATGAAATAATGTCTGCAATTTGAACTTTGTTGTGAACAAACAGATCATATGTAGCACACACAGCAATGACAGTGACCCCCTGTTCCTTTGTGAGCATGCTCGCCGTCGTAAATAGGGCTGTACCCATAATGCACATCAGCCCCCAAAAGGGGGGACCACTCTCTGTCACATGTTCTCTATATTTCACATACTGTATATAACATAACAAGGAAAGGAGGAAAAACAAACAGGCCCCGACATCGGCCCGTCCCACAATTCCCGCTACAGCTTCAGTGTGGACAGGATGGGCCGCAAATAGCAGTCCTGCAGTGAATGTGGAAAAATCGTCTCGCAGAAAAATTCTCGCTAATTTTGTAAAAACTGCTGTTACTATGACATGGAGAAGAATGTTTCCGAGGTGGTAACCCCAGGGACTGAATTCCCCGAGGTAATAATTGAGTCTGAAGGAAAGAACACATAGCGGTCTGTACGACTTGTGAGATCCACTGTGGGTGAGAGGCGTTCCCCAGAAATCGTCGTAGAACAAGTTAATAAGTGGAGTCTCTGGCAGCAGGTCCTGGTTCTTTTTTATGGCACGACTGAAAAAAAATAAAATACAATCGATACTTAAATTCATTAAGTCCCAAAATTTCATAAATTAGCCATTGAAAGTGTGACAAAATTAACTTATACAATTTTTTAAAATTTCAACATCCTTAAAAGTTAATGGCAAATTGTTATAATGAATAAAGTATCAAAGTGATGAATAATACTTCATAATTCTTAAGTTTATATTGGGATTATGTATATATACCCTGAAATATTAATTTGTTGTCCATCATAATGTAGTGCACACAAATTCTGAACATGCACATTTTGGTGCATTTTATCTAGAAAAAGTAATTTTTAAATGAACCAGAACTCTGCAAATATTAGAACTTATATTTTGTTACTGAATTTTTTTTAAAATTTTTAATGTCAGTATACATAAATTCAATATTTGTATTGTGCTGTGTTTGTTTAAGGCAGACTGCGGTTTGGCCACAGCTCGCTTTATCCTGCCCAAACACCTGATATGACCCAGCGGCTTAACATGTTTGTCTGGAGTTTATCTCTTCTGCGCTTCCAGAAAAAAGTTTGGTCAAAAACTGTTTGCAATTCAATTCCTCAAGTACCTTGACAAGATGTTTGCAAGCTTTAATTCAAACAATATTAAAAATATTTTGTGTACAAGATTAGAAAACTGTGTTTTTAGTACACAAGGAATTTCTTTTTTTGAAAACCTAAACACAAAGTTAACCCATTAGATGAAGAATATCCTGATCTTATGGAAATAAGAGATAAAAGGTAGAACTTGAGACCAGACCATGGAAAACACCTTTAACAAGAGTGCAAACAAAGTCAAACTCAGGATTAGACAATCAAACCTGCATTTAGAAAGACCCTACTCCCAGCAATGTTGAAATTGCTAATGTATGTTTGTGTCAACATAAGTGACCGGCCAATTTCTGGAGTCCAAAAGTGTGAAAGCTGTGTAGAGACTTAACAGGGAAACAACAAAGAATTCTAAGAAGGTGGCAAATTCGGAATCAGAAAACACGAATTGTCACACTTTAAAGTACACAAAATGTTTACTTTACAGAAAGAGAAAGTTAAAGACAACAAAACACATAAAAGGCACTTCCTGTCTGGGTTCCAGAAAATGACTGTTCTTTTCTCTTTTTCTGAATTTTATACTGGCAAAAATTTTATTCTTTTTTTTTGGAGTAAATAAATCCTGTAGGTTTCTATAGGAATTCAATAAGAAGGAGACACAAAGCTTTGTAGTTGTAACAAATAAAGTAATGTAAAGGCATCCTCAGATTCCCGATGATAAAAGATTCATATCAAATGCATGAAAAGGAATGATAATCAATTCAGATATTGAATCTGTCTGAGAAATGTCTAGTCAGACAAGATTGACCCATCCACCAGGCTCCATTAAAATGTTACCAGCACATAGCTGGTAAGAGAGAAAATGGCCAACTTCCAATGCATTGACATATATTTCATTTGTATAACAATAAACTACTGCAACACTTGGAGAACCTTCATGATATATTCATATTATGTGCACAAAAGTGTATGTTTTAATATTGTTTTGAGAAAAATTATGAGAAAATCTATAAAATAGGATCAAAAAGGAGACAGCAAATTTGAGAACCCACTTTCTCTTTGGTTATAGGTATCTCTTATCCTGAAGCTAAATTTGATGTCTATTGTCGCCTGAATGATGAGAAAATCTTCAGGGTTTATCATCAGTAACATTTATGTTCCTCTATATCTTGTTTCCTAAGTTAAAATTCATAGTCGCCAATGATGAGAAAATCCATAAGATCGGTGTAGGGGAAATTTAACAATGGATTTAACGGTGTGTTATCTGTGTCCGAATCAAACTGTCCTGAAGCGATCTGACCACATGGTGCACCTGAATCATGTCCGAGAGGTCCTTAATCCATGGTAACAGATGACCCCTCAATAACACTGCTAATATTTGCTCAACTGTAAAAGTTCTCGTGCATATTTGAAGAAGGACTGTTTACAGGTACTTTAAGCTGTATTTGCTCGAGTAAATTTATGACTATTGTAAATAATCTCAAATGCACTTTTTATCCGTCTAAAGAGGTGTAAGGATATGTTTTTTTAGGTGAAATTGCCACCTCTGACTGATTAAGATGTTCGATATTTACCCTTTTCTGTGAAGGCTGATATTTTTGTCGCCAAAAACAAGGAAAGACGTGTTCCTAGTGGCACTCCCTTCTGTGGGAACGTCAAATTTTGAGAATTTATGCATCTACTAAACAATTTCATATGCATTGGTGATTGTAATCAGCTCTTAGGACAAATAGTCTTATCAAATAAATTTACAACGGCCTGACACATTAAGACTACATTAAAAGAGAATGGTCATAACTTTGGAATATATCTAACAGAATTATTTACTTAAAACTTTTGATACCCACCTCATCAAATAATCTTAAAATGATAAAATGTGTTCAGAGAATTCAATTATGATACCCACTGCAAAACACATAAAACAGACCTATACATCAAATACATTAAAATTTTACACCAATGAAACCCCTTCTGTTGGAATATCACAACTACCGTTTTCATTTCTCTTATAATCTGAACATGCTGAAAGAGATTGTTTTTCTGTCACATATTTAGCTTTATAAATTTATTCTATTTAATTCAACTGTCAAGTCAATTAATATTCACAAGTCATGGATTTTAAATTTTCCTCTGTTTACTTGAGACCTTTTCAAAAAATGACAAGGTTTTTTAATTCAATATCATATTTCAAACGTGTGGAATAGCTGATATTCTAGTCCATTTAAGCTTGGAATCAGTTAACCGTGACATTGGGCTACTAAAGAAGGCATAAAATTTACTCCTAATCCTTACAAGCTCACTATTAACTTGTCACTCAGAAAGGGGAAAATTCCTCCAAATTAGTGCCCCAATAATGGCCACATGGATACCTGCTTTGAATTTCCTGACATGGATTTTCTCACAGTGTGCACTCACCTACAAGTGACCGTTTTGACAATATGTAATCAACTGGTAATACGTATGCTAATTAATGATACAAACGACTATTCCTTCTTTGTAAATATTCAGACATCTAGAAATGATTTGTCCTAATGTATTATTAAAATTATTCATTCAAACTCTTTTTCTTTTCTTTTTTTTTTTTTTTAAATTTTCAATTTCTGCTGGAAAAAAATACTATATACTTCATCCTTATAGGTCCCTTCTTCAAGGTCGCAAAAAATTCACTGTCATGATCAATAATCAGTTTTTACTACAAATATATCAATGAAATTTGTAAAGTCATGTCTTAAAAAAAAAATATGTTCAAAGGGTGAATCAATTTCTTTTTAAAGAAATATATAAGTCAAATTAAATCAATTATGGTAAACTGTAATGTCTGCGGATTTTCTAATGCACATGCAGCGAACAGGATTAAAGGCGATAGATAACAGAATTGCACTGTCACTCTACCCCGGGACTTTGTACAGGTTGTAGGTCAAGAATTAGAAAAGACAGATTGCATGATTTGTCTATAACGCAAGGCATGTCAATGAAAAATATTCAAATAACTGCATACCCAAGTCAATGTCAATGCCAATTGCAAAACAATATTGCAAGTTCACCTTAGCTTTGGATTCATTTTCTTTAAATGTAACAATTGCACCAAAAAAATTATTTTAAAGACTTAATTGATGAAAAAAATGGGTGATTTTGTGATCTTACACTGAACTTTTCAATCCATTATTTTAGTAAATATTTAAAAGAAATTCTTTCAAAAGAAAAAAACATATTTTTAATCTGCATCAATCAGACAGAAATTAGGGGTAAATCTGAATCTGATGGAGGTCTGGCTCCAATGAACTGTTAATCAAAGGTGTGCACCTTGCAGCATGCCACTGTATTAATGAATAAAGCTGGGAGGACGTAGGTACCTGTATGAAGAGAATTAATAGATTGTTTTACATCCCATTTGAAAATTGTTCACTCACATAGGGACGTCATCAAATGCCAGTAAAAGCTGGCTTCTAATTTAGACCTTTACTCAACACTCAGGGCCATTAAGCAGTGAGCGTTCTTTATCGTGCCAACACCTATCATGATTTGCTACCAAGATATATCCAAATGACCTGAAACTTTCAAATCAAAGCGCTGATCAAGGAATGGTTGCTATCTATTTTTTATCAACTTAGGTCAGTTGCAGATGAGGTTCAAACCCACTACCTTCTGATCTGAATGAGCCAGCTCTACCAATCAAGCTTTTCTGATGTTTTATCAGAATTGTGTCCTGATCAAAAACCATAATTTAAAAAGAAATCAAATATTTCTACTCTGTTGTCAAACATGCACTAATTATCTTCTAGACTTTTTGACCGTCCAATGTTGTTTCTATAACAACTCTGTTTTTCACATTGTTTTTACCAGTGTCAAGAAATGCATTAGGAGTGTATATAACTATATTCTTTGATGCTTGACTCCCTCTCTAGTGTATGATTGATTTTATTTAAATAATCATTATGATGTGTCTACAGGCAACACACCTTTTGAAGTAAGAGCCTTGTTTGACTTTTAAATGTATAGATATGTAAATAATTGATATCAAAATTGTTACACATGTGTTTCCCAATTTGCGCTTTACCCTTAAATTCATTATTTTTCCCACAATTATTGTAGCTTTGTATTTTTTCAAAAAAAAGTTTTAGAATAACTTATTTTGCTTATTTTTCTCCTTAAATTATTGCAATTTTATAGAACACTTTTATTCAAATTAGTTCAATCTCTATATGCGACTGCCCTTTTATTTTAAAGTCCATTCTTTAAATCACTGTTTTTCTGACATATTAAAGCCCCCGACTGCACCTTTGGCCACATATTACCTTTATCGCCTATCTTTAGCATTTAAAATTATTTGTTTATGAAACATCTTAGGCTGTCGTTTTGGACAGGCACCTGATCATGTAGGGGTTCATAATCCCCCTCCGCGGGTCATATTGTGAACTGTTTTACAGGATAATGTCTCAAAACT